GTTAGATTTGGTACTGCTGCTAGGTTGTTTTCTGTGCAGGCACATAATTGGAAGGGATCTCCTCGACACCAAACTCCACCATATGCTCTTGGACCTCTTTCAATTGACCCTGAACCACCACCAAGAAAGTGCAATCATCAAGAGCAATCCTTTTTGCTAAGTTTCATGTTTCTCATTATTGATGAGAATTTCTCTTTTAAGAGTCTAAGGCGCTTTAAGCACAAGGTTGTCTCTTTCCTCACTTATTTTCTCTTAACTTTGCATTGATTAACTGTGCTTAACTGAATTATTGAAGAGGATAAGTGTGGGGGAGCTATTCTAGTAGAAAAGTAACCTTGTTTTTGTTTACTCCCTTATTGATCCTCTTTTTCTCTTGTCATTACCTTGTCCTTGGATTTTGCATTGAGGACAATGCAAAATTTAAGTGTGGGGGAGAGATTGTTGTTGAGTTGTTGAGCTGTTTTTGAAAAAAAAAAAATTTCCTTTGGATTTGCTTCTGTTTCATAAGTATTGCTGCTATAATTGCTCTCTTCTCTGCCTTATTGGTTGATTTCTGAATTGCATCGCATGATTTGAGAGTGATTTTGCTTGGGAATTTTGCTGCTAGTTTCTATGTCCTTTTTCTTTCATTCGCCTCAGTGTTCTGCACTGCTGTATGGGCGAGTTGCTGTTCTCTCTGTTGCTGACTTGACTTTTGTAATCCTTGGGCATCTCTTTTAAAATCCTTTTGCACAATGCTTGTGAATATTGCTCGGCTGAGTTTGATTGCATTTGATTTGAGTGATTTCTGTTCTTAGTTGATTAGCATAGTAGAATGCCTTTAGTGCAGTGTTATTAACCTTGTTTCATAGCTTGATCATTAAGGAGGAAACATCTTGGAGAAAGCCTTGATGGAAGGATTGTTCCATATATTTTCTCATCTTGTGTGATTTTCACCTAGTTTTGGTTAACCTCTAGAACTTGTCTAGATTCTTTTTCAAAACTGCATTAATACCTAGATTTGTGAAGATAATAGGGGCATTCATTTCTAAACCTTTACCCAAACACAAACCACTTCATTTAACCTTTGTTCACCCCTTTGAGCCTTCACTTTCATTCCATTCATTTTTTTTAACAAGTGTTTTGCATGAGTTAAATTTGGTTTTTCATTTTGAAAAGTACATCATTAAAGTCTATATCTTTGCCTTCTTGGGTTTGGATGCCAAAAAAAAAAAAAGGAAATAGAAAAAGGCAAGAAAGAGAAGAAAATGTTTAGAAAAAGCCAAAGAAAGAAAGTTATTAAAAAAAAAAAAAACAAGAGAGAATAAGTTGCAACAAAAGAATAAATTTGAAATAAGGCATTCAATGGTGGTTTGAAGAGCAAGGATCTCTATCTCAAAAGTTTAAAATATGCACTTTGGTGTTCTTTCATGATCGTACTTTAGCTCACTTTGAGTTGATACTTTATTACTCATGCATTTCATTTGTTAGTCCATTTTATTCATTTGGCCATAGTTTCCAACATTACAACCCTTCAAGTCCCCTTGATCATGAATCTAAGGTATGCTAGTGGTGGAGATATTAGAATTTCTACAAGCTTATGGTAGGTGCTAATCTAGGTGGATTGAGTGAAATTTTTCCCATTTGAGAGATGAGTGAAACACTTGTACCATATGTGAGCTCTATTATGTTTCTCTTCTTTTATCCTGCTATGTTTCTTGTGTTAATTTCTTTGCACTAAAGTATTCTATGATTGTTGATTAATTAAGAATAAAGGTTACTTGAGTTAATTGCACATTCATGCTTAGTTAATTTTATGGTTGCGTGCATTGAGTCTCTCTATTGAATTCTTCTTTAATGAAGTTTTGCCCAGGAGTGCAAAAGGCTAAGTGTGGGGGAGTTGACAAACTCAATTATTTTTATATATTTTGGTATCTTTTATATGAGTTTTGTCAGCTTAATTGGTCCATTTTTGCCTTAATTGATTTAATTTATTTTATTTTGAATTATTATTTTATAGGGGCAAAATTGTCATATTTTGGTTTAATTGTGACTAATTGATTTTGAGGACAATTAATGCTACCTTATCTTTGAATTTTTGCTTGCAGGTTTTTGGAAGATTTTGAAAATTAAAAAAAAAAATAAAAAAAAAAAAAGAAAAAAATAAAATAATAAAAGGGGGGAGCAAAACGCTGCGTTTTGCTCCACCCCTAATATCTAATATAACCATCTTCATATTGGACCGGAGCGAACACACAAAGCGGGCTGGAGGAGAACACACAGACGGCGGCTGGACCAGGCGCGAGTGAGAGAGTGAGGAGTCGACGGCGAAACCATCCATCTCTTCTTCCTTTGACCGAAATCCGTCATCATCATCGACTTCGTCTTCTTCCTTTCTCAGCGCGACCACAGCGAAACAGAGGCGGGCAACACACACGACGCTGAAGCGAGCTGGACGGCGGCTGGGAGAGGGAGAAAACGGAGTGACGGCAGACGCAGACCAGGGGAGCTGACGGTTTTCTACACTCTTCCTTCGATATCCTCCATGGAAGTTTGCAATAGAGAATTGCTGGTGGCGTCGAATCTCATGGCAAACCGAGGCTAGCTTCACAATTCTCTAATTCAACAATAATGGCAGGAGCTTAGATCATCAAAGGGGAGTCTTAGTTGCTTTAATTTCCTACTCAATAATTGTTTAACAATTCCTAGGTCTTAGGATAGTTTTTCTGATTATTGGGATAATTGTATTGCTTAATCTGTTTATTATTTGGGGATTATTGTGGCTGAATTATTGCTTAGTATTTGACATTGGGCTGTTTACAGTTTTGATCTCAATTATAATGTTGTGGTTATGACATTTGTATTGATTTTGGAATTAATATATTGTGATTTTCTAAGGTGGCTTAGAATTTTGGATCATATAGTCTCTTGCTAGCTTTAATTCTGTTATTTTGGATTTAAGAGTTCTAATTAAGCATTGGTTTTTGGCATCCTTAATCCCATTTTACTATTCTGGTTGCAGTTAGTAAGTTGGGATTTTAGGAAAATATTTTGTGGCAACTCGAGGTGGCTCGGTTGTTGGATCAAAAGCTTAATTATAATTCTTAATTCATTGTTTTTAACTCCCACATCTTTTAGAGTGATGATTGCCTGCATTGTTGAATTGGAGGATTGATTTTTATCAGTGTTATTTGTGTGTCTCATTTTCATTTCTTTAATCTCCATTCATTTTAATCACTTTTATATAAAAACAAAAAAAAAAGTATTTTAATTTCGATTTGATTCGTAGTATTTAATTAACAGCTTTTCAAAATCAAAAATCTCTTTTTATAGTTTAGGTTACTTGCACTCATTTACTAGGGTTTAATTTCGTTTTCGGCTCCTTAAAGTGAAACGACCCGAGTTTTGCACTATATTGCATTAATTCGGTTAATTTTTGGAGTAACCCCAAAGCGACAATCAAAGGGAAGTTCAACTTCACATTTGCATATCAGTCAAAAAAAAAATCCTCATTTCATTTTAATTATTTCATTTTTTGTCTTATTTGCATATCTTGCATTGCATTTTGCATCTTTACATTAATCTTCATTCATTTTCGCACATTGCTGTTCTGAATTTCTTTGTGTATGACCAGAGATAAAGAAATCTTACTTGACGATCCTGAGTTTGACATACCTTTGAAACAACTTAAAAGGAAAAATAAGAAAAAGGGTCAAAAGAGTGATAGGGAACTTCTTTTAGAGCAGCACATTCCTAGTACACCTAACCACATTTTAGACATGGCTAATCGTATTGAGAATGGGGGTAATGGTGAAAATAGTGGAAATGGAAATAGGGGCAATAGGGACAATAATGGTCATGGGGAAAATAATGGGCCTAGGAATAATGGTGAAGATCAGAGGAGTCTTAGAGAAATAAACAACTCTACCGTGAATTTTGATCCTCATGGTTTTTACAATTTTAATGCCAATTTTGAAATTAAAGGAAATTTGATTAATGCTTTGCCTAAATTTTTTGGCCTTTCAGGAGATGACCCCTACGGACACATTGAGACCATGATGATGGTGTGTTCCACCATGAAGCCCCAAGGTGCCGATGTCGAGGAAGTTTTGAGGAGAACCTTTCATTTCACCATGGAAGGAAAAGCTAAAGAATGGTTAAGAACACTTCCTCAACACTACACTACACTCACGTGGGAGCAACTCAAGACAGCATTTCTTGAAAAGTTCTTTCCTGCATCCCGGTCTTCTAAGCTTAAGAAAGCTATTTTTGGTGCACAACAAGATGAAGGAGAATCGTTTTATGAATATTGGACCAGGTTTCTCACCATGATGGCTCGTTGCCCTAATCATCAGATTTCCAAATCTAATTTGGTTCAGTATTTCTATGAGGGTCTTTTGCCACTTCATCAGAGAACTATTAATGCTGCTACTAATGGTTCGATACTCGATCTCACTCCTCAAGGTGCCTGGGACTTATTTGAGAAAACTACTACAAATGATCAACAGTATGGCACTAGAGACAGACAATTTGTGAAGGAGGTAGCTTCATCTTCTTCTACTGATGAATTGAAATTATTTATGGAAAAAATTGATAGAAGACTAGAGAGGCTAGAAAATGATAGGGGCCCAAAACAATGTAATGCCATGGGTACTTCTCAAGCCTTGGTAGCCCCAAGTTGTGAATTCTGTGCTTCCCCTATGCATCTTAGCAGTGTTTGCCCATCCAGAATAGAGGAAGTTTCTGCAATGTATCAAGGTCGCACTAACAATCAGAAATGGGACCCATATTCCAACACATATAATGAGGTGTGGAGAGACAACCCTAGATTTAGTTGGAGGAATAATGAGGCTAGAGGACAGAATCAATTTTCACAAGGCAATATTGGATCTGGTATTCCTTCTAACTAGTTTCAAGACACCTCAAGAATGGTTATTCCACTCCAGGATAATTCACTCTCTCAACCAAAGAGTGATGAGACCAGCCAACTTTTGAAGAGTATGTCTGCTTAGCTTAATAATATGGATAACCGATTAAGGGAAGATAAAGCCTTGAATGACAGCCAATTCTCCTCCATTGCTTCGATTCTCCAAAAGATGCAGGGTGATAAGGTGAATGATAGTGCTCAATTGACAAACCTTTGTAAAAGGTTTGAGGCATTGGAAATGAAGAATAACACTTTGACATCTCACGTGACTCAAGTTTCCAATACTGTGAGCGATTTGCAAGCCAAGAATGGGGGTGGACTACCCTCAAATACTGTGATCAATCCCAAATCCCTTAATGCCATCAATCTGAGAAGTGGGAGGGTGGTCAAATTCTCTAATGAGGATGACGAAGAAGTTGATGAGGAAATTGAATGTGACAGCCCTCCGTCAACTCCCATAAAGCTGAAGCACTTTGAAAGCACTAAGAAGAAAGAACTGATCGACAATGATGCTGAAATTACTCAAGATGGAGCAAGGTCTACTGATGGGCCAGGATCTCAAGTGGCAAGTCAACCACTTCTGGAAGATATCAATGAAAAAGCTCCAACCACACATGAGAAAAGCGAATCAACTATGCAAGGGGCCTTAACGCCAAAAGGTAAAGAGGTAAAGATTTCTGACATTCCCTTTCCTAATGCTTACTTTAGAGGTAAGAAACTGCATGATGAACAAACTCAAAAGGAAATGATTGAATTCTTTAGTAAGCTAGAAGTAAATATGCCTTTTTTGAACATGATTAAAAGCATGCCTGCATATTGTAAGTTTCTAAAGGATTTGTGCACTCACAAGAGAAAGTTTAGGCCTAATGAAAGAGTTCAACTGAGCTCTAATGTGTCAGCTATCTTTAAGCCTCAACTTCCCATAAAGTGCCAAGATCCAGGTGCCTATACCATTCCCTGTACCATTGGACCAGTGAACATAGCCGCTGCACTGCTAGATTTAGGGGCCGCAATTAATGTAATGCCTAAATCTGTTTACATCGCCCTAGGAATCAAAGCAGTCAAACCCACCAGTGTTATGTTACAATTAGCTGATAGGTCCATTAGGCACCCTGATGGTATCTTAGAGGACATATTGGTTAAAGTGAAAGACCTCGTTTTCCCAGCTGATTTCTATGTCCTAGATGTGTCTAATGAGTTAGCTAGTGAATCCACTCTCATCCTAGGTAGGCCCTTCCTTAGAACAGCAAATACCATTATCGATATGAAAGAAGGTGCCATACCATGGAGGTTGGGAATCATAAGATATGCTTTAACATGTATGAAGCCATGAAACACCCATATGAGGATTACTCTTTGTTAGGTGTTAATGCTATTGATTTGGCTATTGAAGAGGCAAGGGATGATTTTGAATTGAATTTGCATGATGATAACTACTTGCCTATGCCTGTTGAACATGATTCTTCTGAGCTTGATGATGCCATGTCTGCTTATGATGAGTATTTCTCCTCCTCTCTTCCTTCTATATACTCTCTTTCTGATACTTGTGATAGCGACATGATATATTCTGATTTTGAGATTAGCAGTACCCTCTCCACTTCACAGGTTTATACCTTTTCTCTCTGTGATACTGACTCTGCTTTTGCAAGTGACCTTAGTTTGGGAAAGGATTTGCTCCTTGAATGTGCAGATACTTTTATGGAATCTGAGATTGTAGCTGAAAGTGATAATGTTGGCTCAACAGAGAGGCCAATTCCATCTAGTTCCCCTACTCATGTCTTTGATCAGCAACCAAGGCAATCTTTACCTGAGGATAAAGGGCATTATGAGAACACTTCACTTGCACTTTCTAATCACTCTATTATTTCTCCTCATACTTTGAAATACTTGCAAGATCTTGTTTCTAGTTGTGATGCAGGTGTGAAGGATGAAAATCCCAAGTTTGTTGGTGCTATAGGTCAACCTGAAGTTGACTCAACACTTGGGAAGGCCAATGAGCAAAAGGTAGATTCAAGGGAGCTGAATCTAAGCTACCTAGTTGAGGCTACAAAAGGGAGTTCTCTTTGTTCTCTTAAACTCCCTAAGTTAATCCCTTCTATTGTTCAACCCCCGACCCTTGAACTGAAGTCTCTACCTTCTAATCTTAAATATGCATTTCTTGAGCATGATGAACACTTGCCTGTGATTATTTCAAATGCTTTATCCGCTGATGAAGAGGCTAAGTTGCTTTGTGTGCTTAGGAAAAACAGAGAGGCGATTGGGTGGACATTAGCTGATATTCCTGGGATCAGTCCAACTGTTTGTACCCATAGGATACTACTTACTGAGGACTCCAAACCTGTTAGACAGCCCCAGAGGCGTCTTAACCCATTGATCCTAGATGTTGTGAGAAAAGAAGTCACCAAACTTTTGAGTGCAGGGATCATATATCCTATTTCTGATAGTGAGTGGGTTAGTCCGGTTCAGGTAGTACCTAAGAAGAGTGGGTTGACTGTAGTTAAAAATGACAATGATGAGTTAATCCCCACTAGGGTTCAAAATTCGTGGCGGGTATGCATTGATTATAGGAGGCTTAATGAAGCCACTAGGAAGGACCATTTCCCGTTGCCTTTTATTGATCAGATGTTAGAGAGATTAGCGGGAAAGAGTCATTACTGCTTCTTAGATGGGTTCTCTGGATACTTTCAAATCCCTATAGCTCCTGAGGATCAAGAGAAGACCACTTTCACCTGCCCGTTTGGTACTTTTGCTTATAGGAGGATGCCTTTTGGTCTTTGTAATGCTCCTGGTACTTTTCAGCGCTGCATGATGTCTATATTTTATGATTTTCTTGAGCATTGCATGGATGTTTTTATGGATGATTTTACAGTCTATGGTGAGTCATTTGATGCTTGCTTATCTAGTCTTGATCAGATCTTAGCTCGATGCATTGAGAAGAAGCTTGTTTTGAACTATGAGAAATGTCATTTCATGGTAACTCAAGGTATCGTGCTAGGACATGTGATTTCTAAGAATGGTATTCAGGTTGACAAGGCAAAAGTTGAGGTTATTTCTTCCTTGCCCTACCCTTCTTCACTTAAGGACTTAAGATCCTTTTTGGGGCATGTTGGTTTTTATCGCAGATTCATAAAAGATTTTAGCAAAATATCTTTGCCTTTGTCAAAGCTTCTTCAAAAAGATGTTGACTTTGTTTTTGATGATAACTGTAAGCATGCATTTGATGAACTGAGACATAGACTGATTACCCTCCTATTCTGACTGCCCCTAACTGGGAACTTGCCTTTGAACTGTCTTGTGATGCTTCTAATGGTGCTGTTGGAGCAATGCTTGGCCAAAGAGATGGTAAGGTCTCTAAGGTCATTGCTTATGCATCAAAAACTTTGGATGCTGCTCAGTGTAATTATACAACCACTGAGAAAGAGTTGTTTGCCATTGTGTTTGCTTTGGATAAATTTAGGCCTATTTGATCAACTCTAAGGTTGTAGTGTTCACAGATCATGCAGCTGTTCGGTATTTGTTTAAAAAGCCACAATCTAAGCCTCGGCTGCTCCGCTGGGCTCCCTTATGCACTTATGCAAGAATTCAATATTGAGATCAAGGATCGAGCCGGAGCAGAGAATCATGTTGCAGATCATCTCAGTCGACTTCCTAGTGATACAAGGGGAGTAGATGATTCTAATTTAGTTTGTGATGATTTTCCTGATGTTGCTCTATGTGCTGTGGGTTTGAAAGAACCCTGGTTTGCTGACTTGGTTAATTATTTGGTATTAGGATTGATTCCTGATTATTTGTCTCCATTTCAGGTGAAGAAGCTCAAGAGAGAAGCCCAGTACTATGTATGGGATGAACCACACCTGTGGAGAATCTGCAATGACCAGATCATTAGAAAATGTGTACCAGAGACAGAATTTCAATCCATCCTCTCTGCCTGCCATTCATTGAGTTGTGGGGGACACTTTAGCGCTAAAAAGACCTCTAGGAAAGTATTAGATGCTGGATTTTACTGGCCAACTTTGTTTAAGGATGCTTATTTGTATTGTAAGGCATGTGATAAATGCCAGAGGTTTGGGGGGCTAGGTAAAAGGCATGAAATGCCACAGCACCATATGTTATTCTGTGAGGTATTTGATGTTTGGGGAATTGATTTTATGGGTCCCTTTCCACCGTCTGCAGGTTTTAATTACATCTTGTTAGCAGTAGATTACTTATCTAGGTGGGTAGAGGCCATCCCTACTAGGAAAGATGACGGCCAAACGGTCTCCAAGTTTCTTAAGTCTATCTTTTGTAGATTTGGGGTACCAAGGGCTATAATAAGTGACAGAGGTACCCATTTTTGCAACCGGATTATCGACAGTTTGCTTGCAAAGTTTGGGGTTACCCACAAAACATCCACTGCTTATCATCCACAGACAAATGGGCAAGCAGAAGTTTCTAATAGAGAAATCAAGCAGATCTTAGAAAAGATAGTGAAGCCTTCGAGAAAGGATTGGAGCTTGAGGTTGGAAGAAGCACTCTGGGCATATAGAACTGCCTTCAAAACACCGATAGGAATGTCCCCATACCGGCTTGTTTATGGGAAAGCATGTCATATTCCGGTTGAACTGGAGCATAAGACCTATGGGCAGTGAAGATGTGCAATATGGACCTAGAGGAATCTGGTCTGGAAAGGAAGTTGCAGTTACAGGAACTAGAAGAGATGCGGTTGGACGCTTATGAGAGTTCCCGCATATATAAAGAGAAAACCAAGCAGATTCATGACCAGAAGATACTGCGAAAGCACTTTCAAGCTGGTGACCAAGTACTACTTTTCAAAGCCCGATTTGCACTCAAACCAGGAAAGTTTAAAACCCGTTGGGATGGGCCATACAGAGTCACCAAAGTGCATGACTTCGGGACGGTAGAGCTACTTGATGAGGCTAGTGGATCAGAATTCAAAGTCAACGGACACCTTCTCAAGCTCTACCACGACAGTACAAAACCTCCATGAGGCCAGGTTGTCCCTTTCCTCTCTCTATCTCTCATATCATGCATATGTCTGCCTGTGAAATGTTTTGAACATGAATGTTTGAGATAAGTGTGGGGGGAGGGCCATTCCAGTAGTAGTAGTTAGGATTAGTTTTTTTTTCTTCCTTTCCCCTTCTTGTTAGTTAATAAATGCTCCAAGCTTTCTGCCTTATCCACTCAACACTTAGTCTTTACATGGGAGTCTGGTAAGGATAGTGTGTTTTGAAATACATTGAGGACAATGTATTGGCTAAGTGTGGGGGAGGACCTCCATGTTCTACATTTGTGAGCCTTTCTATTTCACATTGAAATTCTTTGATTGATTGAGCCCTACTAATTTTGCCATTAGTATTGGTGATTCTGTTGCTCACTATGCCCCGTACTTTGACTATTGCTACTCTGTTTTGAAAAAAAAAACAGAGAGACTTTCACTAGTTTAATTTTGAGTTATGCTTGTTCATGATTGAATATAATGCTTTGATTTATGATACTCCTATAGCTAATAATTTGAGTAGTTTGATTAATGCTTTGTGATTAGTTTAGTGTCTAATTAGCCAATGTGAGTGAACATGAGAGAATAAACCTTGTTGGAAGATTTTTGGGCCTAATTTCCTTTCTTTGTGTGTGATTATCAACTTAATTTTTCATTCTGCAGAACTTGTTTCAACTCTTAGTCTAATTACATAGTGATTATATGATAAAAGTGATTGAGGCATTCATATTTATAACCCTATTATCCCAAACACAAACCTCTATCATTTTTATCCATTGCATACCCCTTTTGAGCCTTCACTTTCTTTTTATTCTCGTTTTTGACAAGCGACAATGCATGTACATCTCAATTGCATTCTCAAAGCATCTTAACATACTCATGACTTGTCACATCATAGAATGTTGCTACTATCTTTCATAATGTGTTTGAATGCCAATTTCAAAAAAAAAAAAGAGAGGAGTGAAAAAAAAAAGTTGAATATGAAAACAAAAAACAAAAAAATAGAAAAAGAATAGAAAAGTAAAAAAAAAAAGTATGGGAAATAAGGCATTCCTTTGGATTCTGTGAAGTAGCAAAAGTAGCTCTGTTAGACATGATTTTATGGAATATCTAGTGGTATTTAAGATGCTTATCATTCATATGTGCATGCATAGTTCTTGTCATTTTTCTCATTCATTCCATGTGGCCTAATTCCATCATTACAACCCTTTAAAGTCCTCATGATTTATTGTATAATTGTGGTAGTAATTGAGACAGTAGAGTTGTTACAAGCCTATGATAGAGTGTGAATTAAGTAGATTTGAGTGAAAATTACCCCAATGAGGTGACATGAGTGAAACACTATTATCCTTGAGAGCTTTCTCTCATTTATTCACTTTCAAGGTTGATTACATACTTGACTAATCCTTTGCATTAGTTTTAACTATGAATTTTGCTAGTTTGTTGGATGTCATTGATTGGGCTATTATACTCTTTCCATGAATTTGTATAACTCTTTAATTGGTCTTGGTGTTAGTCTTAGTTTTTCATGAAATTGATTGTTTTGCCCAGGAGTGCAAAAGTTCAAGTGTGGGGGAGTTGATAAATCCTGATTTTAATATATTGTTTGATATCTTTTTAGAGATATTTATCAATTAAAGTGGGATAAATTGCATTGATTGTAGATATTTTGAATCAAATATTGATTGCATGAAATTAGAGATTTAATAGGAGATCTTATCATATTTTTATCTCTTTTTAAATAATTGATTTTGGATTTGATGATAATATCTCAATTTATCTTTTGCAGGCCTTAAAAAAATAAGGAAATAAAGATAATGAGAAAACTGAAAGGAAGGAAATAAAAAAATACAAAAAAAGGAAAATTGGAGACACAGCTTGGATGGCATCAGATTATGATATTATCTGTATTTTTATGGATTCAAAAAGAGGATACAGAAATTATCCACACGCCTATCCTTCAGATTTGATTTGGATATATATTATATCTCCTCCTTCACGCAGGTATCACAGCCGCCCCCCCTATTCCATTCCTATATATACCACCGTACACACACTCATATTCACACGCCTCACACCACCGACTCGTAGTCATCAAAGCCTTCAGATTCTCTCACGCCTCATACCCGCTCCACACATATACACCAGTTCTCACGCAATCACAAGCGGCGCACCCATTCAGTTCTCATATTCCCCCTTCGGCCAAAGACGCACTTCACCCATAGTGGCGCGTTGTCCACCTATTCCACAGGCTTCATTATCATCATCCATCTCTTCCATAACTATCATCATCACCGTCGGCCCCTATTATTTGTATTCTTCTACAAATAATCTTCACACCCACTTTCTCACCAAAGCCTCCATGAATTCTCATTGCTTCAAAAATATTGTGGATTCTTTTAGAGCTATGAGAGGCTAATTTTCTTGTGCTTCTTGGAGATGGAGGAGTAGCTTGAGCTTGGAGCTTCAACTAGGGGAGTATTCAGTTTTCCAATTAATTTTCTCTTGGACTTCATTAGATTTTTCATGTGTTAGGAATGTTTTCATTTGATTTGGAGACTGAGATTATGCGTTATAATTTCTGTTAATTGGATTTTTGCAATTTAATTTGAGTTGTATTACTTGGGATTTGAATTCATATATATTTCCTTTGCATTCATTAAAATTATCTTATCTGGCGCGTTGTTAGATTTTATGATTGAGATGTATTGCAATTGAGTGTCTCCGTGAGCATTCTTTGAGAGGGAAACAAGTTTTATTAACTCAATTTAAATTGCACATCAAGTGATTTTTAAAAGTAACTTAATAACTTGATTACTATCTAGCGTTTAGGGTAGTTAAGTGTTGAGTTTACTTGACCCAAACTGTGTTTCGGATTGTTTTTCTTAACTTGGTGAATTATTTTACTCCCATATCTTTTATTAAGCAAGGATAGCTACATTCTGTTTTCAAGAAGCATTCTCATTACTGATTTTCTAAAATTCAAATTTGCATTTTTCATTCTTTCTTTATTAAAAATACCCAAAAAAAATAGTTTAGATTTATTTCTTATTTTCATAATTAGTTTTATTAATTGAAAAATCCTTTTTCAAGCCCCCTTTTTATTCTTTGTCACTTAGTTAATTTAGGAATTAATAAAAGGCTCCTCAAGAGACACGGCCCGAGTTGTGCCTTACTGCATAATTTGGTTTTATTTTTTATTTAACCCAAGGCGACTAAAAAGGTTCAAATCAGAGAGTCGATCCATGTTTATTTTGGGCCGTTGAAATGGTGAACAAAAGCTGTTATTGGTCATTGCATTTTTATTTCCATAATGCAGAGTAATTCTAAACCAAAAGCAGAGTGAAATTCTAATGCTCAAAAAAATTGTGTATGATTTTAGGTATTTTAATTTTATTTCCTATTTAAAATAGCAAAATGTGAATGAATTAATTGACTGACTCATCTCTCAAAATGTATTCACTTGAACATTATTTGCTATTTTTATGGGTGATAAAAAAATAGTTGCGTAAACAACGATGTCTTTTTACATAAACTTAAAAAATTAGCATTTTTTTTTTTTGCAAATTGAATTATAGTATGGAAGGCAAATGCATACCATATTTGGACAATCCTTCCAATATACTGTCTTTCTAGATGGAAACCTTGGATGATACCTCTATGAGCAAAGTCCAACAAGATTTGAAAGATTTCCCACGTGGAGATATACCAAAAGAGGAAGAACTAACTGAGTCTCATCTTGATCATGCATTGGTTGTTCTCCACCAGTATTTTCACCAAATACAAATTTCATCTCAGGAGCATTTTTTATGGATAGATGTTGCAATTGTACAAACCTTTGAGCTAAAAATACTCGGCATACAGATTCTAATTTGAAGCAATCATTAATAGACAAAATTTTTAATTTTGGGAATCTCAATTTCTCCCATGCATCACCACCACAGTCTGATCCTTCTATTACATGCTTCAATTCACTACAACTTTCTATGCAGAGTTTCTGTAAGGATAACAAAGTGCATGCACCAGAGACAGGGAAGAGAGATGTCAACATTGAACAGCCAATAATTTCGAGAAGCTAAAGATTGCCTAAGTTGCAATTAGCAGGGAATATGTGGAGCAATTGAGGGCATTTGACTATACCTAATCTTTTCAGCTTTTCAAACAAGCTAAACAGAGAAGGACCACGATATAGGTGTTTAAGATTACCCATATCTTTTAGCCCTAACTCGTCCAATCTAGGGACAGTTGCATCTACATAAGGAGTAGTTTTGTCTGTAATGCATTCGACCTCTAAACACCTTTGAAGACCAAGTTTAGTTAACTCATTCACGCCTCCTACAGCTTGGATAATATTAGGAACAAAACTTTTGCTGACCCCCTTAAGCTTATAAAATTTAATTGCAGTTGCTCTTTGTGCAAGATCCTTGATTATTGCACCTATCATAGACATATTTAAGTGACCCAATTGAAAAGATCTTATGTTTTCATTATGAAGCAACAAGCTCCAGCCACACTCCCCAATTTCTAACTTATAAGTGGCGCATATAAGGTATTCATAGCAATTTGCATTTTTTGAGTGGGGAAAATGCAAGGAAACATACAACTCTTCCAACTATGAGCACCTTCCTATGACTTCATAACAACATTCATCTATTGTGCAACTTGACAGATCTAACAACTTCAACTTGTTTAATTTTTCAGTTCCATTAGGTAGTCTTCCAAATTTACAATATTTCAAGTCAAGAATTTCAAGTCTTGGAAGATGTCATGTAGATCCCAACCTTGCAATCGCAAAGTTCGAAGATTAAACAAGTGTTGTATTGATCAAGGTTGTAGTTCAATCCGATCCTGATATGCACTAAGCATAATAATCAACACCTTGAGTCCTTTAGTGCCTTCAAATGATGCGTATGAGATATCCAAGGGTTTTTTGGAATGTAACAACATAAACTCAAGCTTTGGAGCATCCAATTGAGAAGGAAATTGAAATA